AGTAAATGATTTTTCCCAAATACAAATAAAGTTGTGTTGATTAACTAATACATAATAATATACATTGTATTGACCTTTTTTATAGCCCCCCTTTTAGAATTAGAAATGAATGCATACAAGCCACGTGTCGCCACCGTACGAACCTTCTAAAATAGTTTATAATGGTCAAATGGACAACAGTGAATGTATGTAACTTTACTTATATATAGTACAGCTCATAACATATAAACATGTGTATTATTATCAGCAGTTTTTTTCATGCAAAATGTCTTGAGATTTAAAGATTAAATTTATTGACTAATTTATTTTAAGGTCGATTGACAGTTTTAGTGAATGTAATGTTTAGTCATATAGAAATTGATCTATTCAAGCAAGTGCTATCTGATAATAAATTACAAGGCGGTTGTAATGTTCGTGGTGATCACTTGATAATGTAAGTATCGATATATCTTTTTTAAATGATTTTGACTTGCAGTGAGCTTCGTTCATATGAATTATATTATAATGTTGTTATTATAATGAAATTAGTATTTACATTCATGATTATTAGTAAACTAGTCACAACACATATATGAACATTATTTAATGTACATTGAATTATATTTAATCAAATTGCAGGGTTCTTTTAGCAATGATGCTACAAGTAATGACGATGTGATAATTGAATATTCGAGAGTTGAACATGTCATTCGAACTGTTTTTATTCACTTTACTTCTGATAAAGTAGACAAAGGAATGGAGTGCTCCTTCATGAATATCCCTGACATTATTCCAAATTTCCACTTGGCAACTGTGCATGCATTTTATGATATAGATGTATTAGGTGAGTATCCATTTTTTATTAATTTACAAGAATATGTGTTAACAGCCTTGGATTTATTAACTTTACTTTATTCAGAAGTATAATAACTAAACAGAATGCGTTGAGTTTATATAATAGTAATAATAATAGTCACATTGCGTAATGTACATATCGTAACACAATAAATACTACTATACTCTTGTTGCATATGTTTGAGCTGCATATTTTGCTAGTCTGTCATGTGTTGTTACAGGCTGCCCTGAAGGGAAATTTGGCGGTAATTGTCAATATGAGTGTTATTGCCAGAACGGAGCAACATGCCATATCTTCAATGGTGCGTGCAAATGTACCACTGGATGGAAAGGAATAGCCTGTGATATAGGTATGAATTTATGTATAATAAAAGATTATGTATTTTTAAAGAAATACTGTCGAATATATTGTTTTAACAGACATATGTATCATTGTAGTTACCCCTAGTGTAGTGTTCACTGCACCTACATTCTACTCTTATGTGGGTCGAGACTTATCATTCACCTGCGATTTGAACCACCTCAACGCCTCTGATATTTATGAAAAAAGGCTTGTATCACAATGGCAATACTCTAGCAATGAATACTGTGAACTTCATTAATGATACACGAATGCACATCTGGAATGAATGGTACAAGTAAGATTGAAGAGAACGATATTATCCTGTATATCTATTAAAATTATACCACTCTTGGTCATGTCACCCATGGTTCTGGCCGTTAGTTTGATACTTTAAACCTTTTGTTATTAAGTAGATTGTGACTTGATTGTAAAACGTATTCATAAAATGCAGAAAATAATCTCTACTGATAGTTGAAGTACGCCCACGTGAATGCTGACGGTAGTTAATTGCCTTTTTGGGGTCTCGATTCTAGCCGTACCTAGTATTTTTGTGCTGCCAGCTAAGTTTAGATGTTGCCCACTGTGGATTGTGCATTACAGTGCATGTATGTTGCTCCTTTTGTAATGAAGGACAATGAAGGACAGTGGGTAAATTATATGTAGAAACCACGCCTGATTCATTCATAATATACTACATATTGCTTACGGTAGCTGAGCAGTGGCGGATCCAGCAAAATGTATTGGGGGGGAGCTTTGCTTAAGATATGAAGTAATATGAAGCTATGCGTAATCCAGATGATATGAATCGTCATGCGTCTGGGGGGGGGCATGGCCCCCTGGCCCCCCTCTGGATCCGCCACTGTAGCTGAACACCTAATTAGATTATTCAGTATATATTGCATGCATTCAAATGGACCTGAAAATCTTAGATCAATGTAGGACGCAAACAATTACTAAAGTCTATAGCTCGGTTCCTTGTTGGATTATTGGGAGTGTCAATGCCCTCTCCAAAAACACAAGAAACAAATGTCCGAACATAAACTTGACTTATTCCTTTCCACCACTTAGAAACGATTGACTGAAAAGTACACAGAGAAATAAAGCACATAAGTAAACAATACATTTCACGTAATCGATCAATATACGAAGTGCAATAATATAACTATCATCACAGTTACCGACTACCTCACAAAGGGTAAAGATATCACAACGCATCTTAGAAATACATGGAATTACACGCAGTAGATCGTAAAGCGTAAAGACTCACATGTATACAAAGCAATGACCTTAAACAAACATCGCAAACAGTTAGCAATTCGTAACAATATTAGACTCCAACAAACAACAACCTAAACTTCGCTTAGTGTAGCTCATTCGACTGCTATAATCCATGCAAGTGCATCAAAACACCAGCAGGACATGCTGTGATCCGCCACTTTCTCCGATTTTCCCCGGTGCTAAAAATAGCCACCTTACCAAATCCCAACTACAGAGGGAGACATACTGTACAATAGCAAATTTGTATAACGTCATTTAACAATCAATGACTTTTTTTTAAATAATGAAGAGAACGCTGTGCTAATCACAACGTTCACGTGAAAGTTCAGACCTCTCACTCCGGGGTATTTTTGAGAAACAGGGAATGATTGAAACTTAGAAATAATACTTGCCTAGTAAAACAAAATCGACCCTGTCAGATTGTTAGAACAATAGCGACGAACTGGAATGTGCTTAATACTGTTCATAACCTGTAAACGGCATTATCTTGACCTCATACCTGTGACATATTTTGTAAACTGACATTGTAAATCAGACAGTGAATCTTAGCTCTGCCGCCTTAGTCTAGGTATACGTTCGGAATATTTGTATAAATTGTTTAATAGAACTACTAGTAGTTCCTTGTTATTAGATCATATATAAACCCGGAAGTGCCGGGCAATCAGAGATCGTTAGTGTGTGTCGTCAAACGACGTATCCTGTCTAGAAATACGCTAATTATGCGGGTGATACGTTTTATTCTGTGTGTCATTTAATCAAATGTGCCTTTTTGAAACTGTACTAATCTAATGAATTTCTGACTAACATCCATAAAATACTTTATGAACGGTTTGCACGTCATTACATCGGTTGTTATTCTCCAACCATAAACAAACTTATGTTGTGCATGCCTTCATAACAATGGTTAGGGCCAATGAATGTACTGTTCTTGCTATTGGGAAATTAAAACAGCTTTTTATGATCTTCAATATTTTTGAATTTTGTGTAGTGTGATAACTTTTGCTGATGGCTTTTAATGCTTGCTCCAATTCGCAACAGATTTGGAGTAGATTTTTTCTCTGTTGCTGACCAACATGCTGGAACATATGAATGTAATGTGGTTGACATATATGGTGAAGTGTACAAAGATTGCACGACTGAGTAACGTTGGTGAAATGTTTGATTCGCTGAAAGCAACCAAAGTTTAATACAACATTCCGATAACAAAACCAAAGAATTTACTGGTTAGAGCAAATATTGGATTGGTTTTGTGTTCACACAAAACAAACGCATTAGAACATAACTTACATAATCACAGGTCCATGCACTATCTAACCCCTTTATTTGTTGTCATTATCAGATGTAGGAGCACCGGAATTTGTGTTTTGTCCGCACAACATCACGGCATTATTAGATGAAGGGTCATCGTCTACTGAAGTCACGTGGCCAAAGGTTGAAGTCAATGACAATTCGGGACTGTTGAATCTGACATCAAACCATCAAGCACGCGATGAATTTATCATAGGAATACACAACATATTGTACACAGCAGTAGATATTCATGGAAATACGGCCATATGTAGATTCAGTGTAAATGTGAAAGCGGTCAATATTGAAACAACGAAAACTGTTATTGTATCATCAATTGTGATTTCACTCTTATTGGTAGTGTTAGTTACTTTTGGGTTTGTTGTGTGTCTCCGATACAGAAAGAATAGACTAATGTATCCATTACTATTTGGTAGGTCTAAAGACGATGGTGAGTACATACTTAGTCTTATATTTTGATGAATGGTGTATAATTTAATGTCCTCCGTTCAACGTCATCATTAGTAGATTTGTTTTACAGATAATAAGGAATGGGATGCATTTGTAGCTGTTAAAGGGGGTACGGAAGATGAAACATTTGTATATAAAGAATTATTGCACGAATTAGAGGAAAATAATGATTATAAAATAAATATTCATCATAGAGATTTCACTCCTGGAATACGTAAGTAAACAGCAGACTTTGCCTAATGATAATCATTCAAATCCATATTAAAAAATAGTGTCACGCTTTCCGCATCAATGAAACATAATATTTTAAAAGGGTATATACATCTGAATAAATGGATTGTACTTACCTTTATACTTATTTGCATATTTCAGCTATCGTTGACAATATACTTTACGCGATTAAGAATAGTCGACGGACGATATTGATATTATCTCCAGAGTTTGTCAGAAGTGAATTGTGCAATTATGAAGTTGATCAAGCTAAATTTGAATTGTTTGGATTACGCCATTAACTGATTCCTATAATGTTCGAAGACGTGACACACATGGTTGACGAATTGTCTGCTACGCTGAAATCCATTTTACACTCTGTACAGTATCTTACGTGGCACAGAAATGGGTCTGAAAAAGAGAAAAAGATTAATTTGCGGAATGTCACGAAAACATCAAGAACAAGATTTACAACAACGATTCGGCTTTTTGTCAAGAATAGTAAATCGCATATGTCATCGTAAATTGTATCTTAGACTTCCTAATGACGATGAGTGTGAGGGAATAGACCTAGAAATAGTGTGAGTGTTAATGTATGTCAACATAACATGATGATCTCAACATTCCATATATGTGTATATCATCAATGTGTCAAAATTTGAGATTTGTATATAATATTGTAAGAATATGTGTTTATTATTCTGTTAAATTTTGTTTAAATATTTGCATTTTGTGTTGTATTGAGAATATGGTTTGAATTTACAACTAATAAACGTGGGTGTAATTACCCCATCCGCAAAATCATAATAAATATAACTACAATTGAGTTGCATGCATATGGAATTTTAGGTTTCACTCTACAATTAGAATTTGTATGAAGGCTTGTAAGATCACATATATGTGTAATCTGCTTTGTTTTGAAAGAGATATCTTGGTTGAAAGTTTAGGAAAGCCAGCTGGTTATAAAATGCTAGTTTGGTATGAGATAGTCGACTGAGTAAACGTTTCCAATGATGCCTCAACTAATTTGTTAAAGCTTCATCAAATTTGATGATGTCATTCGTTATTTGATTGTAAAAAATGAACAAAAGATTTTTTTAAATCATGAGTAGTTGCTTCATTGGTTATATGCATGCAACGTTTACAAATTCTGTTAAGTCGCCATTTCTTGATTTAGAAAACGTACGAGTTTAATAACACATAATGTCTTTGTGTCTGTGGGACACTGTGATACTATGACAAATGCATCCAACTGTACTATATAACATCCGGTGGTGGAGTGTTCGTACTTGGGAGAATGATTTTACCCTTTGCCACAACTACCTGCATTATGTAACGCTAGTATACATACTGCATTCACACAAAAATTGTTAAGATAAACGACCACACCTCCGAACATAATCTGCAATGCGCACACCTCAAGAAATAATAATTATGCTTGCAAGATAAAAATATACAATATGTATACAAAATAAATAAATTTATTATCGCTTAATAACGCCAATCAAATGCGAATGTCTATATTGATTTGTTTTAATGTTTCAATCACATGGAGAGCAGAATGGTATATTTAACTGCCATGATATGTAGGGTAAACTAAAGTTTGCAATTGTGGTATGACCAACAAACAGCTCTATTCAGAGGACACAATTCTACCATGACAGCCTTTGGATGTAAAAGTGTTGTCACATTTGTAAACTTAATCACAACTCGAACGGCAAAGTGGTTGGCAATGTGTGTTTCTGCTTTAAAGCTAATTAATAATATGCAAGGTGTTGTACAGGCTGGATTATAGTCGCCGTAAGTCGACAGTAGCATTTTCGCTGAGCATCTCTGTGAGCTAAATGCCCCTGAGTTGCTTTGACATCATCATTACGCATGTGCAATTTGTTAGCTTTGTTTATTTACCAGTATTTTCAACTGTGAACACTTCGATATATAGATTGCACAGCCACTATTAAAAACAAGATTAGGCTGACCAATTTATGTATTCAACAAAACACATTCTTACTGTTTCGTTTTTTTTATTCAAACAGCACAACAAAGTGCTGTGACGTAAGGGAATATAATTCAACTCAGACAAAATGCTTCTTTATTCATGTTTTAGTTGACGCATTCATCTACCAGACACCTGGGCCATTGACACTTAATTATTATAGCATAAATAATGCATGACCCAACTTCAGTGTTATTGTGAACTACATCTCGTTACATCACAGACAAAAGTGTACGCACTACCGGGAAGATGACAAAAAGACGGCAACCAACCATCGATAAAATGTAATATGAGTTATCATTCTACCGCAATAATCACAGCAACACTTTGAATAACTATATAGTCTGATAATACAACTTATCCAGATTGCACCTGTCAGTAGTCTGGAAGAAATGAGTACAAAATGTATAAATTTGTTCTAAGGCTTGAGGACATCCACTTTACTGTTTTGTTTTTGAAAAGGTAGAAGGACACATCCAGGGCACATTTCTTATTTCTTAAGTTAAAATCATTATGACTCTTGTAGCATGACCAATTGCAGCATATTGGCATGACATTGACCAAATTATAATAGCAGTGATAATGAACCTTAGCATGCAGTCTTTCACGGTAAAGTAAAACGTAACATTGCTTTAACAAATGCGATGCTATCCCGCCTTGTACATTAAAGCCATGCACCACATAAATTGTATCACTTCCGGCAACTGCATATAGTTGCATTATTCTCAGGCATGTTTTTCCGACGAGGTCATCAAATAACCTTTGGACAGTTAATGGCAGCTGTAATCAAATCCCTCGAGTAGAATCACATCCCACTAAAGTCTCCATAATAACCGTCCACCCATAACAGCATGTAATGTACGTGTACTTAAAGTGACGACATTGCCATTCACTAGCTAACAACTTAAACCACTTATTATACACAGACTAAGAGACACATCAAAACAAATTTAATTTTTACACACGCCATCAGTTATTAGGACTCCCAGTTGTCATGTTTAAATATGTTACTTCGCACTTTCCTCAACTTGAATCTTTAGGTGAACATGACGAAGTTGGGCTTTCGGGATGAACATTGTAAGGGGTACGCTGTTCCAGAAAACAATTGTAAATTGTCTAATTCTAACCCTAGGAAGTGGGCACTCAAAATTGTGGTAGCATGGCACACCTAATCACACTTATTATATGTTTTGAAATGATAGCTAAAGAATTTCATTGGAAAAACATTACTCTTCAATGGGTGTTCAAACACAGTTCTTCCGTGGATTAAAACACCCATTTAATGGTTGAATGTTAATGCAATATCATTCTCATAGAAAAAATATTTCATTATATTTGTATACCCTTTGGCTGAAAATCATTCTTTCCTTTATACTTGGTACTGGATTTTAACCGAGACACGTTTCCCACGTATTTTTTGTAACGTACATGCTCAACCGCATTTTGATGGAGTGCCACTCGGGATAGTTACCCACCTTAAGAAACAATATTGACTTGTCAATGCAGAACACATGCGAACGCTTTAAAGAGAAAGATATTGTTTTGTCACCTATGCAGTGAAAATTTCAAAATTGCATCCTCCGATGACTGAAGCACTAAAAGATTTGTTTTGAATAGAGATTTTAATTATATCTTTCGCCCTAGTCAAAATAAAAAAATAAGCAAGTATTTTTATGTAAAGCTGCTACGTAAAATACGCCAAACTTAAAAAGCAGTGGGTGTCGCGTCACGCATATGCGAAAATGTGTTGATAAACATTTATAATCCAATGCGTTAATGACAATCACGAGTACGAGATTTGACCTGGGTGCGACGTGCAAGTAATAACGCTGGTGACTCCTTCGATACCTTACAATCACAACAGAATTTATCTAGATAAAGTTTGGTAACTTCTAAGTTTGCTCTCGTTGGTCTGGCAACTGTTAGGGTCGCCAACATTGTTTATATGAGTCCCATGTCTCAAGCATGCGTGGCGCGACGACCACCACCCTTTAATGTTTTGACTTTGAAAGGTGAATATAAAGGCCACTGTAGATTGTATATTGTTATACATTTGTCGTTTTGATCCAAAACCTATTAGAACGCGTTACATTTGATATCCGCATATTAGTTTATACATTAAATTACAGATTTTTGCCAGTGACTTAAAAATGTACCAAAACCATGCACGCAAGAAATTAGCACACCACTTCCGGGTATAAATAAAACATGTATCCACGCCGTTAATGGCGCTATTACCATCTAATAATCGCGTTTAATAACGGCTGCGCTGCAGCTGATACGCAGGGAAACATGTACAGAAGATCTTGTTGACAAAATCCGTAATCACGTGACGTGACGCAATCAAAATTCCCAACTGAAATGGTTCTAAATACATGCGCTGGTCGATGTAGGGGGATTTCCAGGGGATTCCCCCTATAACTTGAGACCTTGGACTATGTGCAATGCGCATGCCCAGAGTGGTTGCCATTCATAAGGCTTTTCATTCTCGCATCAGATCACATGATTATTTTACTACTTTCCCTTCCGTGTCAGCCATATACGGATGATGTGTCTATGTCGCGTCGCTTCAACAATGTAATTTGGAATCAGTGAAGATGATGTTTTGTTTGGCGTGTTTCTGTACCTTTATTTATTTGTGTCATGGCAATCAGGAAGGTAATGAACAAATAGTTTTAAACATATCATTGTTAATGTTTGGCATCGTACACTAACATGGCACATGTAGCTGCACTCGACGACCTGCTGTGAAAGGCGAATCAGATTTTGTCACATTCCATAAGCACTACGTCTGGTAATACATTCAAACTACATGTACATCAATTACACTGCTGTGTTTACAGTTAATTAACGCAGAATACGTAGTGTAATGTAATGTTTGTTTCCTACAGGTTACCTAGACACTGACCGTTCAACCAAATATTACAGAATACACATATCTGAGGTGAGTTCATAGTAACAATATATTTTAAACATCTATAAACTAAATACATATCGACTTGTTTTATTACGTAATGTTGATGTAATTACGCCATTTTGAATAGGGTAGTTTGAAAAATTGAAGCTTATGTTTGAAATGTTCACAAAATGCTATTAACAGTATGTGATATCGCATATTATTAATTTGCATACACTCGTAAAATTTCGTTTTTTTGATTTATTTGATTGCGCATTTTTCAAAAAAAAAATAATAGTGATATTTTAGACAGCATAGTTTAAACGATGTCTAAATCATCTGTAATAGTCGTATGTGTGTATTTACAGCACATTTTGAAGAAAAAAAGAACATTGATCATCATGACGTTTATCGACTAAATCCCACACAACATTGATTATTAACGTATTCAAAAATCAG